CAGATTACTAAAGTGTTCTGCAAATATCCACAACAATCAAATATGTTCCTCTACAAATGTACATGTACTTAAAATATGTGCATCATCACAAGTCCTTCTTTATACCTGTTAATATCAGGTCCATAGCATGGAGGTGGAGCTAATAAATGAATAGAGAAAAAGAGCATATGGAGCAGTTCCCAAGATTTACTTCATTGCCTGTGCCACTGTACTTCTTTTATTAGTAAGCGACCAAATGTGCTCACGATCGTCACTGAAAGTACAAGTACTCACATACAGTACACACAACCACACATCCACGAGATGCACACACAAATGACACACCATTGAAAAATAGTTTTAGACTTGTCACCAGTCCCTCCATTATCGCAACATTTCGCCAGAAGTTTTCGGTCAAAAACGATATTTTTTTTTTTCATTAGGTAGAAAATGGGAAATTCGTAATGTTTTAGTGGCAAATCGTATTTTCGTATTCTAACAAACAATTCGTAATAATGACGAAAATTTCGTAACAGTTGGCAGCTATATATAATAATTTAGCTATTTGGGTTTGAAAATGATGATGATCATGATGATCATCATCATGATCATCATCATTTTCAAACACATGATGATCATGATGATCATCATCATGATCATCATCATTTTCAAACCCAAATAGCTAAAATAATTTATTTTACGGGACTTTGACTCAGTGAGTCAAAGTCCCGTAAAATAAATTATTTTAGCTATTTGGGTCTGAAAATTTACAATTCTGTCTTTGGTCTCTACTAGTTCAATTTCCTCAGATTTTCCTTTCAACGATCTATCCTGATTTAATTTTTTTTTTTGTGTTAGTAGTCCCCATTTAGCCTGTTTAGTGCAAGTTTCTTTAAAAGTGTGTCATTTTTCCAGGCTACACGTACACCCCTTTGAAAAATGATTGACCCTTTATTGCTTAAAATTAAGATAGGCATATTACCTGATATATTGCCTTGTTTTCATCCTCATTATTATATCAATTGCATATACGATGTAATTGTTTTGGGGGTTACTTAGTATGTTTGTTTTTTTAAATATAATCCTAAATAAACCCACAACTTCCAATTGTGTTTTATTTCTGACAAAGCAAATATACAAGCTAATTCAACAATCTCACTCACCGCTCACATCCAGCCAGTTTGGAAAGCGCAAACCAGTTTGCGCTAATGATGGGGCAGCACTTTGGTGATGACTCCAGAGTGCAAGTGGCATCCACCCCGCCATTGAAATACTTGGTCATAAGACCCCGGATGCCACTAGGCTCGCATCATCCAGAATGACAGGGATGGAGGATTTGGAAGTTGCTTTTGGGAGAAAGCGTTCTCTGGTATATCCAAGTACACCATTTTTGGCCCCGGTCATTCTTGATGCCATACGACAGGACGTCGTTTTGCCTATTACAAGAAAAGATAATAATTGGATATTTAAGATTTATATTTACCTGTATTTGCAGTACAAGAAAAATTATATGTAGTATTTATTTCCACAGTGTGATCAATGTCATTTTAAAATGCTACTACAGGGACACTGCTTTTGTAACACTGCTTTGGGATTTGAAATTGAGCATCAACCATTATGGCCTGACATGTAGATTTGATATGGTTTCACC